TGTGTTCATTCATAATCATGTCACGTTGTGTTAGGGGGAAATTCACCATAAAAAATGATCGAATTCTTTTAAGGTAGACATACAATCGGGGTCTTGTTAAATGTGTTGTCTAAAGAGTAGGGACAATTAGTATTACGCCCCTCGAATACGACTTTCATAGCATCGTGACCCTGTAACAACCAACTTATAATTCATGTCTTTCGGTGCTTCTATCTTTCAGGTGCGCCCTTGTCAGAAAAATCATATATGAAATCAGACTGTCGACATCTCTCAGTTATATCAATGGTGCATAAACCATTTAAAGTGAGGCAGGTCACCGACTGCCAGTAAAAATATCATTCGACTATATATATATCTCGTCGGTATCACCTATAGGTTGTACCGATGATGGACGACGATGACCTTACTATGGCTAAGGTGAAGGTTTCGGACCCCATGAATATTCTTAACGTAATTTATTATATCCACAAAAACAATTGTCTTTTTTACTTTTTGTTGATATGCTTGATCCACAACTGCCTCTATTTTCTTAGTGTCATGTTGTGTAAGGTCTCGCCAATTAATCTTGCAAGGTACATTTTTGCTCTTCTTTGCTTCGACCCTAAATGTATTATTTTATAATTCGTTGATTATCTTCATACTACATCTATTCTTATTAGTCACGGATAAACTAAGAAATATCACACATATACCACCATTAAATTCAATTAGTTGATCAAGATACTTCCTTCAAATACTATGATACCCAAGGTTACCAAGATATTTTTTTATTTTTTTTTTCCTGAGGTCTTTATGATGTGAGGTACATGTCTACAAATTTTGAAGGCATTTTGCTAAGCAAAAAATAATAATAATAATCGTTAAAGATGGCGGTTATAAAACGTGCTTACCCACTCATATATCTATATTTTTTCCACTTTTTGTTTTTACTTTATTATTTATTTATTTTCGTGTTTTGCATTATGCAAAATACACATCTAATCATTTTCAGGGCATTTGACTAAGCCAAAAACAAATGAAAAATCGGCAAAGACGATAGTGTCAATAATATGCTCGCCCACTTACTAATTGTAATTTTATTTTTTATTTTAATTTTACTTCAATCATTTATTTATTTATTTTATTTTTATTTCAAATTTGGTAAAGAATCTATATGTAACGTTGTTCAATTTATTTTTCTTCATAACATGATTTTTATTTATTTATTTATTTATTTTTATTTTTTTTTTGGGGGGGGGGGTCCGTGTTCGGCCTGAACGGTCGAACACGACTACATGGGGGCCTTAACGTTTGAGCGTTCGGGTTCGTTCATTCGACCCTGGCTGAACACGAGCTACCATGATGATACTTAAATGTACTATGTAATACTTTATCAGTTCCTATTGGTTACAATTTTAGATGCTACATTTGTTTCTATTAGTTACTGGTAAGTTCTAAAATATCATACATATATACCACAATCTAAACTACTAGAGTGGCATGCGACCCCTTCTATTGATTTACATATGTTACCTCAAGTAGATGATAATATTTAATTTAAATCAATATTGGAAACCTTATAATAGTTTTTCACTTTCACCGACATGTTGTTAATCTATAACAATAGTTTGATATTCTTACTTGTGGTGTTATTTTGCATTTTACAGTCAATGCACATATGTTATCTAGCGTAAATAGTTGTTGACTAAATAAGAAATTAGGGTCAACAACTGCTGAGAAACGATAAAAACCTGACCCCAAGCAATATGAAACAGCGACAAATCCATACCTCCAGCAATGAACAACAAAGATGGGACTCGCTCCAATACACATCATGCTAAATGTATCTAGACTGACAAAATGTCCTAGTACCTTCAAAATGTTCGATCAATCAAAATGCATCTGGTCGAGTTGCCTATCAAGATACCTATCGAATGTGGAGTAGTGAAGCGCGACACAAAGAGTGACTCCTTCTCCAGACACAAGTAAAAAATATGAAAAAAGTTCAAAAAACAATTATTCCTCCATATGCCAGACGAGGCGAATGCGCCGGTCGGACAACATACTCACACTACCACAATCTGAAATGCATTTGACCATAATTACAACCCTACTTGGATGTATCTAGCGCCGATTATTTCCAAACAATTAGCATAAATAATTTAAAAAGCTATAGTATGAGTACACCCTAAAATCTTTCTTTTTCCCCATCAATGATGTCACGTCAAACTAACCACGCCAAATCCTTTTTCTTCCCCGGAGCGGGGGGGCTAAAATGGCCTGCTGCATCTTTTTTGCCATCAACAGAAACGGATAGCGACCAAATGGCCAAGCTCGGCTTGTACACCCATAAACTGTTGAAATATAAACTGAAGTTCAAATCCAGATGTCATTAAATGAACAAAGACGAATAAAAATAATTATACATTACTTGCGGCCGACCAATTTTTACGAGATGCGATGATATCTCAAGACCGTCACCCCCAAACCACCACTACCTTTCTCACTAGGAAGCTAAAACAAAAAAAATACGCTACTCTGAAGAAGTCGGGGGCTCGGGGCAGGATTGGAAGCCGACAAAAAAAAATGAAAAAAAGGAAGGAAAAAAAAAAGAAAAAACAACTACTAAAAACCCGCCCATATGTAGGTCGGGAGCAACCCCCGCATGTTCTCTCGTAAACAGGTTTTGGCTGCTACGGGGTTCCCCGTATTCCTACAAGTTTTTTTATTTATTTTTAATTTTTAAGTATGCCTACAATTAGGAGTAGTGGTAGGTAGGTAGTGTGAGATGAAATTGAGATGGAATGTTCAATGTAGCTTACAAAAAAAATAAAAATAAAAATCCAGCGACATCGGGGAAGACCCTCACAACGGTGGAACTTACGGGAGTACTTTGAGGAATGTATCTGGCTACTATACGTGGAACATGATTCTTATTGTTTTTGTTTTCTTGTGGTGCACTGCTAGTGAGGCAGGGCGTATTCCAGACAAGGCAAACAACTGGCCAGGATCAGGCTGCCGTTGACAAATTGAATCGGTGACCCGTTTTCCATTTCAGTTTTTCTTTTTCCGCCCGCAGGCGATATATGGGAAAGGTGCTGCAAGTTTAAAGGGTGTATTTGCCTTGGTGCTTCACGTCCATGACGTTTTTTTTGCTGCCATCTTTCGTTCTTTGACTGATGTTTCTTGTATATCTGATGAGCCAGCTTGTGCTCGGGGTTATCGACTACTTTTTTTCTTTGAAGTTTTTCCCTCTCCTTACTTTCGTCTCATAACGTGTGCCGCAGGGTCATATTGTCGTGTCATTACTATATCATTTGCGATATATGGGAAAGGTACTGGTGGTTTAAGGGGGAGGAGGTTGGGGGGGGGAAAGAGGCAACAAAGCCATTGAACTGGAATGCAACCCCTAAAACTTGTACCTTTGCTTTTTTATTTTTATTTTTTAGATTCTTTTCCTTTTAATCATTGTCATCTCCAACCAACTTTCTTTTTGTTTTTATTTTAATCGGTTCCAATTCCCAAGGCTGATATTACCAATAAAAAGATTGAGGCCGGGGTGCTCACCCTTAAAAAAATAAATAAAAAAATTCCCCCTTATGATTATTTTTCATCTCCAGCTAAATACATAGAAATTGATAGAATCGGATTTTGTGGGTCTTCTTGCACTTCTGCCGACTCTCGAATTTCCGACGCTCCAAACTCACGAAAATAATCGACGGAAAACCCTTTCAAGAGTTGTCAGACAACACTCCTAAAGGTCACTTGCAATGCTTCGCGAGTTTTTTTTTTTTTTTTTTTTTCCCCTCCAAATTTGTCCGCCTTCAACTCTCAAAGGTTCAAAAGAAGTTGGTCGTGCTCTCAATGGGGCCTAAAAGCACCGAAGAGAAGACTTTCAAAAGGTTTTCAAGGGTCTCTGAAACTCTTGAAAGGACTCTTGATAAGTTTCGAGAGTCCAGAGAGATGAAGAGAAGGGACCCCAAAGTATCAACAGAGAGAAGTATTGCATCCATTCACAGAAGAGTTGAGACATTCATTAAGATGCAAAAAATATTAGCATGACCCCTACCCAGGGATGATATGCATAAATCAACAAATGGTCCAAAGACTTCTTTTACGAAAAGTGGAGAAAGTCATCGGTGAAGAGAACAAAATATAATGAAACTCGAGAATCACATGCTGTAGACAAACAAAAACACACAGTCGGATTCTCTCAACCTAGTTAATCATAGAGGAGCAGACAAACATGTTGGTCCATGAGTGAATAAAACTTGAGAATATCGAGTGTGTGTGTGTGTATGTGTGTGTGTGTGTGTGTGTGTGTGTGTGTGTGTGTG